TGTAAACAAAATAAATCATTGTGATAGACGTATCAAAAATGATTATAATATCATCTGTCCATTGCCTTGTATTTATCGTGTAAACAAAATAGATCATTGTGATAGACGTATCAAAAATGATTATAATATCATCTGCCATTGCCTTGTATTTATCCTGTAAACCAAATAGATCATTGTGATAGACGTATCCAAAATGATTATAATATCATCTGTCATTGCCTTGTATTTATCGTGTAAACAAAATCGATCATTGTGATAGACGTATCAAAAATGATTATAATATCTGCCATTGCCTTGTATTTATCGTGTAAACAAAATAAATCATTGTGATAGACGTATCAAAAATGATTATAATATCATCTGTCATTGCCTTGTATTTATCGTGTAAACAAAATAGATCATTGTGATAGACGTATCAAAAATGATTATAATATCATCTGCCATTGCCTTGTATTTATCGTGTAAACAAAATAGATCATTGTGACAGACGTATCAAAAATGATTATAATATCATCTGCCATTGCCTTGTATTTATCCTGTAAACAAAATAGATCATTGTGATAGACGTATCAAAAATGATTATATTATCATCTGCCATTGCCTTGTATTTATCGTGTAAACAAAATAAATCATTGTGATAGACATATCAAAAATGATTATAATATCATCTGCCATTGCCTTGTATTTATTCAGGTAACTGATGAAATGGAGGAAGAAGCCCAGGAAAAGCGTAATGTTGCCATGGCAGCCATGACAGATGGTGAGTCATTACATTATGTTCGTCTTCCTGAGCATTCACATCTAACTAATTATGTTGGATTCTGCTTCATAATATTATATTATTCCTTTCACTGATAACAAATGTAGTTGTGTTTGTTGATTACCAGGGTATTATAACAACAACTGAGTGTGTATAAATTGTGATTTGTGCTTATAATGAATCAAATACACAAAGATCATATTTTTGTATTTCAGGAAATTTGGATGAAGCTATTCAGATGTTTACAGAAGCCATTATGATAAATCCACATTCTGCATTACTGTATG